AGCATCATGATAAATGGAGAGAAGATTGAGGTTGTCAAGGAATTCACGTTGCTTGGTTCTACAATCGATGCCAACGGAAGCAGCAGTCAGGACATTAGACGACGTGTAGCATTGGGGAAGTCAACTGCAAAGGAACTGTTTCAAGTGCTGAGGAGCAAGGATATCTCCTTGAGGACTAAGGTGTGCCTGACACAAGCCATGATATTTCCAATCGCCTCGTATGCATGTGAGAGCTGGACAATGAATAGGGAAGACCGAAGAAGAGTTGATGCTTTTGAGTTGTGGTGCTGGCGAAGAATGCTGAAAGTACCGTGGAAAAGAACTAACAGATCTGTCCTGGAGGAAGTGCAGCCAGAATGCTCCTTGGAAGCAAAAATGGCCAGACTTCGTCTCACCTATTTTGGTCATGTTGTAAGAAGGGACCATTCATGGAGAAGGATGTCATGCTTGGTAGGGTGGAGGGTCGACGAAAGAGGGGGAGGCCTTCAGGGAGATGGATTGATACAGTGGCTGCGATGATGGGCTCGAGTATAGCAGGGATTGTGGGGCTGGCGCGGGATCGGGCAGTGTTTCGTTCTGCTGTGCATGGGGTCGCTATGAGTCGGAAACGACTCGACGGCACTTAACAACAACCACCACCACCTCTGGCCCTGCCTCATGCAAGTGAGCATTGCAACGACACTTCTTAGCCAAGAAGCTAGTAACAAACTGATTCATCAGAGGCGTATCTAAGGCATGACACACGCCCTGGGCGCCACTTGAAGGGGGCGCTTTTGAGCAGTTTCTATCATGTGTCCACGGCCAGCTGAGAGATTATTCAGCAAGTTAAAACTAGTATTTCCTTATCTGAGGGCCGCCAGGGGTGTCAAGGCAGGCTGTGATCTTGCTCTGCTGAATGTAGAAAGAAAAGAAACGAGAGGGGAAAAAAAAAAAAATGACTTTGAGCACATTATAGACCAGATTTCATCAGTGAAAGCAAGGAAGGTGCAGTGGTCATTTTCAGGTAGTGCCATGTGTTAAGTAAAAGATTAACGAGTTTGACTTGTATTTTGAGCTGATTTTATGGTAAGATTATCTAAAGGATGGGTCAGATGTTCGGACAGGGGGTGCAATGTCAGTGTTTGGCGTAGGCGTTAGTACTTAGGCCTCTAGGTTCATCCAAATAGACACTGTTGAGTAGACGCTTTAAAAAGTAGATCTCTATGTCCTGAGTCAGACTTCTGACGTGTAAAATAGACCTCCGTGCCATACTGAGTGAAAAAGGAGTAAAATATACGTATGTCTCCATTCGTGTTTTGAAACGATACACATGTCTAATATAGCCCCAGAAATGCCTGGAACACTAATGCACTGAACCAAAAGAAACAAACTCACTGCCGTGGAGTCAGATCCGACTCATAGTGACTCCTCCTTGGGTTTCCCAGGCGGTATCACTACGGAAGTAGATTGCCCAACCTTCCTTCCAACGAGTGGCTGGTGGGTTTGAACCGCCAGCTTCTGGTTAGCAGTCAAATGCCTTAGGCACTACGCCGCCACCAGAGCTGAACAATGATAAATTTGGAAGAATGAGGTCTTACATCCTTTCTTTCGTTTCAAACCCTTGAGTCGCGTTTGAATTGTGGACCCAGTGCGCAAGCGCGCCGCGTCAATTCAGCTCCGGAGACCCGGCGAATCGAGAGTCGAGCAGGGCTGTGAGCGGCTGGAGTGTCAACGGCCCCAGAACCTGTGCTTTGCGACAGCTCCTAACGGTTGGCCTCCGCAGGGCGTTAGGAGGCGCGGCCAGGCGCGGGGAGCGGCTCTGCGGGGATTTGGAGACAAGCAAGTACGTTTGGGGACACAGGAGACGAGAGCCCGGTCCGGGCTGCGGAGTCAGTGCGGGTCGCGCGTGCGCGGCCTGCGGACTATCGGGGTCCTCGATAGGACTACCGGGATGTCCGTGTCCAGCCCGAGGAGGGGGCGGGGCCTGGGGCAGGTGCAGTCTCGGGTGGAGAATGGGGTTCCCCGGGGTCAGATGCAGCCTTGGGGCGAGAAGGGGAACGCCCAGCGCAAATGCAGCCTCTGAGAGAGAAAACGAGCGTCTGGGACATACGGAACCTTGGAGAATAAGTAGGCCCAGGGGCTGATGGCGCTTTTAGGAGGAGGTAAGGGAGAAGAAGAATGCCTGGGAAGATGAAGCCTGGGGCAAGAAGCGAGCCTAAGGTCAGATATTTGGGGGACTAGGGGAGGGCGGCAAGAAGTGCCTGGAACCGGTGCATCCTCAGAGCAGGAAAACGCTGGGGGCAGATCATGCCTTGGGAAGGGAATAGAATGGTCAGGGATAAAAGTGTCTTTGGCGAAGGAGAGAGTCCCAGAAGCTAGATGTAGCCTTGGGATGGGAATGGGGCACCCAGAGGCATATGCAAAGTCGGGACAAAAGGGGCCCTCAGGGGCAGTGGAAGCCTGTGAGAAGGAAGATGGCCCGAGGCAGATGCAGCCTGTGGGAGGGAAAGGAAGTAGCTGAGAGGGGGCGCTTCTAGGGCAGATGATGTTTCAGGGAGCAAAGGGGCACTCAGCTCAGGGAAGATACAGCTCCAGGGAGGGAGGAGGGACATCCAGGGTAGATGTAGCCTTGCAGAGAGAAAGGGAGTAACAGTGTCAATCAGACTGGGCCTAGGAGGAGAAAGGTGGTGCAGACAGATGCAACCTTAGGACATGCGAAGATATGGGGGGGGGGGGGGGGGGTGTGCAGGCTCAGAACAGAAAAGGAGCAAATGCACCCTCCAGGCTGGGGGTGTCTGGAGGGGGGTGCTGCTACAGGGAGCAAGGGGGGAGGGCACTTGGGGGCAGATGTGTCCTCAGAGATGGGGAGGCTCTGAGGCTCAGGAAGGTTGAGGTTACCCAGCTGTAAGCAGGTGCTCTGGTCCGCCAGGAGCTGTCCAAAGTCAGAATCATTTGTGGCCATGCTGCTTGGCCATGGTGAGGGGCAGAGGAGACATTAAGGAAGGGATGCAAACAATTCAGGAGCTTGGCTGCTAACCTAAAGGTAGGAATCTACCCAGAGGCATCTCAGTAGAAAGGCCTGATGACCTTCTGAGAAACCAGCTGTTAAAAACACTGGAGCATCCTTTGCTGTGAGACCAGAATAACTGGCTGTGCCCAGCTACCATTACTGAACATTTTGATAAAAGATTCTATAGAGGAATCCTGGTCAAAAGGGGGGAAATACAGAACAAAGTTCAAATTCCCATAGAATTCAACCCTTCTGGAGCCATGGAGGCTGAATGAACCCCCGAAACTATTGCCCTAAGATAAATCTTTAGACGTTAAACCAAACATATCCCCCTAAGGTCTTAAAACCAAACAGTAGTGTATCTAAATTAATAAAGAATGTGTGCCTTCAGTGTTACACTCTTTTAAAATCTGTATCAGATCAAGTTGACAATGGCACCTCAAAAGATTAGATAAAAAGCTTAGGGGGCAGTGAGTTTATATAAATGGGGAGAAGGAACAACTGAGAAAAGGAGGGTAAGAATGGTTGCACAACGTGAAGAATGTGGCCAATGGCACTGAATTGTCTATGTAGCAACTTGAATGGGTGTAGGTTTTTACAGTGTGTGTATTCCCAACAACAACAACAACAAAAGTATTAAAAACAGCAACCCTGTGGAGCACAGTCCTGACTTGACACACACAGGGCTGCCATGAGTCAGAGTTGACTCGGTGGTAACTAGTTTTCTTCCCAGGAAGGGCTCCGCAGGTGTTTTGAATGAGATGTTGAGTCAAATGAATATTCAATCCTGAGATTCCTGAATTCTTGGTTTACTGCTGCTGCTCTTTTGCCCATAAGGAGCTCTGGTGGCGCAGAGTTTGAGGCGTTTGGCTACTAATCAAAAGGTCACCTGTATGAACCCACCAGCTGCTGCATGGGAGAAAGACGACGCAGTCTGCTTCCATAAAGATTTACAGCCTGGGAAATCCTGTGGGCAGTTCTACTTGGTCCTATAGACTTGCTGTGAGTTAGAATCAACTTGGTGGCAGTGGGTTTGGCTGGTTTGGGCCCTTTGGCCCTGCCCCCTCCAATGTCTTTACACTAACCTCAGAGTTGTATTGTCTCTTTGCTTGGGAAATGTGTTGGTGGTGGAGCTTGCTGTTACCACCCAATAGTGATGGACCATAAGCTCCAGAATGCTGTGCTCTCAGGAGCCAGGGTGGCTTGGGATCCTTTTTGAAGCCTATTTGAACCTTTCAGGGTTGCTGTCTGGGTTTTTTTTTTTTTTAATTGTGATTTGGGTGAAAGTTTACAGAGCAAATTCGCTTTCCATACAGCAGCTCTCATATACTTTGTCTCATGACATTGACTACAATTTCCCACAATGCAACAGCTCCCCTCCCACTTCCTCCCCATAGTTACCTCTTCCCTGTGTCTTTCCCTCCATGCACTCCTGCCCCCTGAGCTGTCTTCCTGTGCATACACAGCCCTTCTATTCTCCCAGGATTGTTCTCTCCAAGGAGTGTATCTACCTAATGGAAATGTTCACCTCTTATGCCTTTATTTTGTTTGGCTGGAAGCCACAGGTATGGGTTCAATTCCAGACATGAAGGGCACCTAGGGGCCATAGTCTCATTGGTTCCATCAGGCTCTATCAGACCAGCAAACCTGGTCCCTTTTTTTTTTCCAAATGATTTTGAGTTTTGTTCCACATTGTTTTCCCACCCTATCCAGGATCTCCTACATAGATTCCCCCTCTGTGTGGTTGACAGTGGTAGCCAGCCACCATCTACTTCTTCTGGTCTTATAGTCGTATAGGCTGAGGATTGCATGGTGTACCAGTCGCTAGGACTAATTGTTTCCATGAATCTTTGGTTCTCTTCATTCTTCTTTGCTCTGGACGAGGAGAGAACCATCATTGCAGCCAGATGACTGTTTGCAAGCTTTTAAGATCCCAGTCTGCTGCCCAATTCTTGACGATAGCTCTTCCCTTCTTTTGCAGGGCATCCTCCCGAGCCTACTTTTCTACAAGATGTTGAGATTTTTGAGGCAACCACTAGTGGTGACAGCGGACATCAACCTGAGTGTCTTGGCTCTGACTGGGGTGGGATTGCTGAGTAGGCTGTGGCGGCTCACCTATCCTCGGGCTGTAGTGTAAGCCAAACGTTCCCCGGGTGAATCCAAAAAGAACTGTCATTTGTTCAGTACTCTTTGTGATAGCAAGTGCCTTTTTAAATGGCAGGCATGGGAAGATGAGATGCTGGGCCTCTTTGTGGTGTGTTTTTGACAGCAAGAGGCAAGGCCAGTTTGTCCCTGGAACAGTCCCCACAGTAAATACACTTCAGATCTTGTCCCATAGGTTCATATTGGGTAAAACTTAGCTCATTAAACAGGGGCAGTGGAGGGGAGAACCATTAGGGCTGCTGGAGGATATAGCTGCTTGCCTTAAGTAACTGTCAGATCCTAAAGGGTGAAGAATGGATGAATTTGGAAGTGAGTCTTCGTTGACCTTAGAATATGATTTTCATCATAGTGGGAAATGATTGCTGCTATTATTAATGTTATGTTATGTTACTAAACATGTATCATTTTTTTAAGTTATTATGGAAAATACCAAATATATACAAAACTAGGAAGAATAAGTGTAATGACCTCCTACCAATGTGCTCATCACCCAGCTACATATGCCACTGATCAATTCATAGACAACTCCCTCTCTGTAATGGATTATTTTAAAGCAAATTTGAGATGTGATGTTTTATTCATAAATATTTCAGCATATAGATCTATAAGATATGAATTCTGAAACACAAAAATCATATAACCACAGTACCATTATTACTGCTGAGAAATTGACAGTAATTCTCTGGTATCCATCAGATTTCCCTGGTGGTCTGGAAATGTCTTTTTGCAGTTGGTCCCTCCATGTCTTGCCTTTATACCTGTGCCTGTTTCATTGGGTCACCAGCTCTGATTCCAACTTTTGGCCACAGGCGAGTGCTGGTGGACCAGCGGGACTGGCTTTGGGTCCCAGAGGCCTTTCAGCAGCATGGTTGATAATACACCTCTAAATCACAAACCAGAGGAGAAGTAGTCTGTACAGGGCGAGCATTCTCAGTGCCCAGTGTATTCATGAATTTTCTGTATCAGGCAAGTGTCCATGTTCCTGAATTTTCCTGATCATTCACCTAAAGCCATTGGGAAGCACACATGTCCACTTATTCTCATACCTTTTCTTGACAGTTAAGATTTGTAGTTGACTGTAATGTGAGTTTGGTTTTGTTTTTGCAGTTTTGATGAAGTATATTATGGGCAGTACATCTCTTTTTACATGAAGCGGATCTTCTTCTTGGACAACAGTGGACCACCGTTCGGCCACATGCTGCTGGCCTTGGGAGGTGGGCTCATCGTGCAAAGAAGGATCCATTGACTTGGGGCCTCAAGGACATTTAAAATGTAGAAGTGACATTTCTCGAGGGCAGAAACCGTGTCTTATTATTTATGTATCATTGTTTCCCTGTTGCCTGCCACAGTTTGGTACCGTTAGAAATATATGCTGAATGGGATCCTTACTGTTAACTTTCTGTTTTAGGTTATGTAGGAGGATTTGATGGTAACTTTTTGTGGAACAGAATTGGAGCAGGTAAAAGATCACATTCCTTTCCCTTCCTTATTAATTTGCACATATTAGAATGAGAGGTCATGGCTTTTTCAAGGGTTAATATGCATAGTTTATTAGTCTGAGTCCAAGGTATGTGCAAAAAAGGACATGGAGGCAGCATTCTCTGACCTCTGACTTCACAAGGGGGAGACAGAATCACCATCAGCAGCCCAAGGGCTAACTCCTATGAGGCCAGACATGCCCCTACCCTCCTCCAGCCTTTTTACCAATTCTGACATCAGTCATCCCTCCCAGGGAACTCGCTACTCCACTGCTGGGTTCAAGAATTCATTGCAGTGGCCACAGAGAACTCACAGACAATATTCATGATTATGGGGCTTATTAGAGAAGTAACAGGTTACAATTCAGTTTCAGGAATGTTCTCAGGATACAGTTCTTCGGTCAGGACAGTCTCCCCTCTGCTGTGCCCTTAGGCACACCTCGCTGGCCCTTGGCCTCTTGGCCTGGGCTCTGCCTGCTCGGGCAAGTGTTACCAAGCTCTTTTAGCTCTGCCAGTAGGTACACCTAGGAGCATCCCACTATGCCAGCGAGCCACTTGTCCCAAAGCACTCAGCTTTCTCACTCTGTGGGCCAGAAAGCCCGCTGCTGTCTAGTGCCTCTTGGTTCCACTGCCACCGTCTCTCAGCCAGGCATCTCTGCCAGGGTATCTCTGCCAAAGAGGTCTAGCACAGGGGTCTTAGGTCCAAGGACTCACTCTACTCCAACTCCAGCTCTTGTCTCTTGATGTCAGTGAGATTCCTCCCTTCTGCCTCTAGGAAGGCTCATTTTAGCCTGGCAGAGTGACAGAATTAACCGATCCCAACATTAGAGTCCCATATACCTTATTTGCAGGGTCCTCCCCAGTGATCTGGTGGAGTCACAAAGACCATGGGTAGAAATGCCATACAAATGAGTCACCTCCACCGCACCACCGTGTGATCACCTGTTTGCATGCAGAGGACACTTCTGAAAAGTCTGGTCGACTTCTGTTGCAATGACAATTTTGCCTCTTTTTTGGTAGTTTTCAGACTCTGTGTGGCATCTCACCTCATTCATCGTTTGCACATGTACATTTTGAATGTTGTCACGGTATTTTTGGAAATGGATGGAGTGAAATTGTAAACAAGTAAAAAATTAAGTGATTGCAGAATCCTTAGTCATCGTTCAGCTCGGGGGAGCTGGTTTCTTAACTATGTCATGCTGATTTCAAAGCTCTCACCTGAGTTTGCACACTTGATTGCTGAGTTGGTCCCCAATCTTATAGACCTGCAATTTGTTGTTGTTGTTATGTGCCGTCGAGTCGGACCTGACTCATAGCGACCCCTCCTTGGTTTCTGAGGCAGTACCACTATGGAAGTAGATTGCCCCATCTTCCTTCCGAGGAATGGCTGGTGGGTTTGAACCGCCAACCTTCTGGTTAGCAGTCAAGTGCCTTAGGCACTATGCTACCAGAGCCCCTAGACCTGCAGTTTAGAAGCTGACAAAGCAGGGCTTGGTTTGAAAGCACATCTGCAAATAGAAAGGTGCTGTGCGCAGCGCCCTCAGCACCGCTGTGTGGTTGCTTTTCCAGAATACAGCAGCAACGTGCCTGTCTGGTCCTTGCGCTTGCTGCCGGCTCTTGCAGGGGCTCTCTCAGTGCCGATGGCCTACCAGATAGTGCTAGAGCTCAACTATTCTCACTGCACCGCCATGGGAGCTGCTCTGTTGATGCTTATAGGTAAGATCTGGGCCTCTGCTCTGTCCTCCTGGTGCTGAAGGGCAGAACCAAGCTCTGGCCTGGGCTGCTTCTCAGTGTTCGATCCAAGAGCCCTCGTGAGTTTAGAAGGCATGCTGCCCGCAGCGTCTTCTGCTCACAGGGAGGAGCACAGCCAGATCGTCCGTGGTTGGTTGTGTGACTTCTTGGGGTCCTGGCTGCGCCCCTTGACCATGGACTTGTGCCCTCTGTGATCAGACTTTCATTATTAGGGGAGGTGCAGCCCAAGCACTGCGAGGTCTGGCCTGAGCACACATCCACCTTCCACCAGGTTTGTCACTAAGTGATAATCTCCCCTCTTCACACCATTTCCCAGGCCTTGACTAACTGAGATGGACACATGGATTAGCAGGGACTCATCAGAGAGAGTCTTCCAGCTCAGGTGGATGAACAAATGCAATTAAATCAGCTGAAAAGTTAGACTAGAAAGTAAGAACTACTGTTTCTTGGGTGACAACTTTATATGCGGCTCTGTGCCTATACAATAATGGCCCTACAAAGTCAGTATTATTTCTGAAAACAAGAAAAATAAGACTCAGAAAAGTGAAGTGACTTGTCCACGGTCACACGGTCAGGTTTTGGTGGTCAGGATTCAGACTGAGAACTCAGCTCCACAGTTCCCACCCAGCCAGTGCTGTCTGACTGGCCCACCTCACAGTCCATGATACTTTGAAATGTTGCTGTCTGTCTTGGTGCAGCATGCCTTTTTGTAATGCCTTAGCCATCTGCTCTTGCCTACCTTAAACTTGACACGTTTTCTCCCTGTAACAGAGAACACTCTCATCACTCAGTCAAGGCTAATGCTTTTGGAGTCAGCACTCATATTTTTTAACCTGTTGTCTGTGTTGTCTTACCTGAAGTTCTCCAACCTCCAGAAACACAGGTATGGGAAATGCATTGTCTCCTCCTTTGTAAATGGGGAAAATAAAAGAGTCTGGGCGGCTGGTCTTCCTGAGGTCTGCTACCTTTCTTATTTTGAGGGGCTGCTTGCTCGATACCTCTTGTACTTAGGTGGCTGCACCACCATGGCACGTGAGTTCATAAATGCACCTTCATTTTCCTATAACTTAAACTAAGGAAAATTCTCTGGACAAAAGGAAAAATTCTGCCAGGGCTGATACTTTGCAGGACTGCAATTCATTTTTATTGTGCCTGGTGCTTGGTAGAACCAGCTGACCTGAAAAGATAGTTCTGGGAAATGTGTACGTCACTGGCCTTTAGGGAGTGTTTGACAGCTGGTCCCATCTCTGCTGTGTTTTTCTGTTTTCTTCCAGCCCTTTCTCTCTAAGTTGGTGGTTTTGGTTAACGGTGACAGGAGTTGCTTGTTCCTGCACAGTTGGGTGAGTTTGACCTGCTTGTCTTAGACATGTTTTTTTCCTCTTCCTTGTTTTGATGTCTCATTTAAGTTTTCACTTTTCATCATGTCTTTTCAGCGTAAAATACACGGGTGTTTTCACGTACTTGCTCCTGCTCAGCGTTGCTGCGGTCCACGCCTGGCACCTGATTGGAGACCAGACATTATCAAATGTAAGTATTGATATCAGGGGCTGCCTCAGGCTCTTCTGGAGCACTGTGAGCAAGTGGGTGGAGTTAACGCTGATGAGCAGCAGCTGGAAGCAGGCAGCCTGGGTGTGTGGTCAGAAGTGATTTTCCCTTTACTCTCTGGCAGGTCTGCGTGTTCTGCCACCTGCTGGCCAGAGCAGTGGCTTTGTTGGTCCTCCCAATGCTCATGTACTTACTTTTCTTCTACGTCCACTTGATTCTACTCTATCGCTCCGGGCCCCACGACCAAATCATGTCCAGTGCTTTCCAGGCCAGCTTGGAGGTAAGCCGTGGGAAGTCGTGGCCACTTTAAATTAAAGGTGGGAGATTGAAAGTCTGTCTGATAGAAACATCATCAAGTGAGCATGAGAGGAAGAACCAAGCCAAGGCATAAGGACTGTGCGTCAGTACTTGGCACTAATTTTGAACACAGTGATAATCTCGACGGAGTGAGAGTGTTGGCTGTCGGAGGTGTTCAGGGTAACCCTCTTGAGAGCATCTTAAAGTCAAGTCTTGCAAACTCTGGGCAGTTTCAAATGCTGTAGGACAGACCCAACTCTGGTATTCAGTCATGCTTTAGCTCAGCAAAACTAGCCAAATGTACTGAAATACAAAATAAAATAAAATAACAACAAAAAAAAAACACCTAGCAGAGGTACCAGTTGAGTGCTTAAGAACATAGACTCGGAAGCCTAACAGACCTGCTTTTAAACCCTGCCTGTAATTAACCCGAGTCTTGGTTTTCTCATCTCTGAAATGAACTCTGATTGCTCTGGGATGCTTGTCAGAACTAAATGAAAAGGCACGTGGACTGCCACCCCCCGAGGCAGGGTTCAACCAGTGACAGCTAGAATTCAGATGGCATTTAATCTAACACAATGATGTAGATAGTTGCACTGCTATAATAACTGCCACCAGCCCGTTGTTCCCCCAGAGGGAGACCTGCCCTGAACAGGTACTTCTGTTTTAGAATAGCTGTTAGGAAGGCTGCTTTGAGTCTCTCTCTCTCTTTGACTTGTTGGCCTTTGTGCTTTGTCATAGGGAGGGCTGGCTCGGATCACACGAGGCCAGCCCCTGGAAGTGGCCTTCGGCTCCCAGGTTACTCTGAGGAGTGTCTTTGGCAAGCCTATCCCCTGCTGGCTTCACTCCCACCAGAACACCTACCCCATGATGTAAGGAAAGTGAGCGTGTTAGTTTGAAGATTACAGGTGTGTTCACACCATGTTGCTCATGTTATCAACTTACATTTTATACAAAGACATTTGCTAAACAAAGGAAGCTGGGGCTCTGGGGCCTGGCGCTCAGTGAGTCGGTTATACCTGTGTGTGAACGTGAGGGAGCCTGGTGAGCGGGGGCCCAGTACCCTCCACTGCACACGAGCTCTGCACCTCCCACATGTGGGTTTCTTCCCACCAGGCCTTAGCACTGTTAGGTTCATGTCTTCCAGCCCTATGCGATTTAAACTCCTATTTTCTCTATACCAAAAAAACCAAACTCACTGCTGTCGAGTTGGATCCGCCTCACAGCGACCCCTCCTTGGGTTTCCAAGGTGGTATCACTATGGAAATAGATTGCCCAGTCTTGCCCTAAACACCTTACTAGGTAGCGTTTCGCCTGCTTTACTTTGCTGAACCCTGGGGAGGAAGGCCTATCGGCCCATCTCTGGACCCCTTCCAGATACATGTCCTTGTTGCCCTCTTCACGCAGATACGAGAATGGCCGGGGCAGCTCCCACCAGCAGCAGGTGACCTGTTACCCCTTCAAAGATGTCAACAACTGGTGGATTGTAAAGGATCCTGGGAGGTGAGTCTGGAGCCTAGCTCGCCTCTTGGCCTGATCAGACCAACTCCTCAGGGCTTGGTCCTAGATCCTCTCCTCAGTCTATACACCCACCACAGGCACTCTCATTCATCCTCACTGCTTTGATAATTCCAAGGTTCGTCGAAGTCCGATCACTCCTCAGTGGGCCACACTCGGATGGGAACTGCCTGCTTGGTGTCTCCTCTTGGGTGTTTTATAGGCATGTTCCAAACTCCCCTTCTCTTCCTTTCTCCTTTCACCTTTCCCCTCCATCCAAAAACAGGGGTTCTTTCCTCTCTGCTATTCCCTCATCCAAAGTGGCATCCCTTAGTTTAACCTCTAAGATGAGGGTCACCCCTCTCTCTCACTCCCCACATCCAATCAGCCCATCAGCAAGTCCTGTTGATCCTGCCTCCAGATGAGATCTTGAACCCTGCAGGTCTCTGCCTGCCCACTCCTGACTGTCTCCTTCCTTTCCCGCCCCCTCCAGGCTACCATTCAGCAGCTGTGGAGGGGGCTGCTACAGTGTAAATTTCATGAAGTCATTCTCGCTCAGACCCCTCCTGAGCTCTCACTGCTCTTAAAATCAAATCCAGACTCATCCACAGCCTTCAGGCTCTTATGACCTGCTCATGCTTAAGCTTCCGGCCTCATGTTCTGCCCCACCCCTTGCTGACAGCACTCACCCTACTGACCCTCTGTGTTTCCAGAACAAGACAAACCACTGCAGCAGGGATTTGCACGAGCCACTTCCTCTGCCTGGAGTGCTTCTACCTGCTTGGCTCCTTCTTAACTTCAGCTTGAAGGCCACTCCTCAGGGAGGCTTTCTTGAGCACCCTTCCTAAGCCTCATCCGTTTCTCTATCATTGTCCCTGTTGGGTTCCTGTACCCATTGTCATACAATTGATGCTATTTGCTGGTTCATTTGTTCAGTGTCTCTCTTTCTCCCTCAATGCACCCCCAATGCAGTAGTGCCCTGGTGGCGCAGTAGCTAAGCAGTTTGGTGGGTTTTTTTTTTTGGTCACTAACCAAAGATCAGTGGTTTGAACCCACTAGTAGCTCCACGGGAGAAAGGCATAGCAGGCTGCTTCCATAACGATTACAGCCTTGGAATGCCTGGGGGGCAGTTCCGTTCTGTCCTACAGGATTGCTGTGAGTCGGAATCAACTCAGTGGCAGCAGGTTTGTTTTTCTGAGAGAAGAGGGAGGACCAGGGACCACGTCTGTCTTGTTTGACACCATATGCTCAGCACCCAGCCCAGTGTTGGGAGCAGAATGGGCACGTAGTATGGGTTTGTTGAAGATACCGAATGGGAGAGTCTGCCCATTAGAAGGATTTCTTGGAAGCTGCGGTGTATTTATCGCTGTAGCTTTCACATGATACAGAGCCTCTGAAATGTGATCCTGGTACATGCAGTCATGTTTGCAATCACACTGACCATTCATTATCAGAAAAGAATTAAACACAATTGGGTCTTCTGATAAGGTGGAAGAATAGGCAGACAAGCGACACAGACCCTCTTCAACAAAGAAAAACAAAAACAATTGACAGAGGTACAGATGATGATCCTGGAGCCCTGAGCTTTGAAAGGAACTATACAGAAGTGGATTAGGCACCAACTAGTGAAAAACCTGAATGAAAACAGTGAGTACAGAGACGGTCGGAGCTGCGGACTGTCAGCTATTCTGACGGCACCAACAGTCTGAATATTTCCAAGTGGTATTGGGTCCTGAGAATTGACCTAAAGATCAGCCCTGGTCACCAAGGGCTGCAGGGACTACTACGCTGGTGGCCTATGACTAGGGAGGGAAACAGGAAGGAGGGAGACAACCTGAGCTGTTCACTTTCCGCTGTCTGGAGGGCGCAGCTATTTTGATTGTTTAAAAGCAGCAGCCATTTTGGATATTTAAAGTGACTGAAGGAGCAGCAGTTTTGAATGTTTAAAAGCAGCAGCCATTTTGGATATTTAAAGTGACTGAGGGCGCAGCCATTTTGAATGGTTATAAGCAGTGGCCATTTTGGATATTTAAAGTGATTGAGGGTACAGCCATTTTGAATCTTTACAAGTGGCAACCATTTTGCATTTTAAAGTGATAGCATTCTCATTCAGATTCCAGGGACCTAAGAATAGGTTCTGTTTGCCAAGGTTGGCAAGGACATAAAAAGGCTGACAACAGGAAAGGAGACAAGTGGTGAGTATATAAGTGCTGTCAACTAATGAACAGAGGAGCACAGCACAGTACTATGCTTGCATAGATAACATACAAACAAAGAAAACAAAAATGGTGGACAAATCACCCCAACATGCAATCACCAATTAAATAAAAACACAAAAACGTCACAATGCCTCAGAGACAACAGAGCATCACAGTCTACACAAAGAAGCAAGATAAAACAGGAGAAACAAGGGACCAGGATACAGACCCAAAACATATCCCTGAGGAAGACGCAGCACTAGAACTCCCTGATAAGGAATTCAAAAGAATTATATTTAGGTATCTTTAATGAATTGAGAGACAGATCAAGGAAAACACTGACAAAATTGAGGAAAACACAGAGAAAACCCTACAACAGTTTTAAAAAACAGTACAAGAACAAAATGACAAAATAAATGAAAAATTAGAAATGATACAAAATCTACACACACAAATCCAGAAGATTAATACTAAATTTTCAGAAATAGATAAGACATTGAATGGGCAAAGGAGCAGAATTGAATCAATGGAAGACAGAATTTGGGAGATTGAAGGCAAATACCTGAACACTTCTTTGGAAAGGGATAAATCAGAAAACAGATCAAAACAGAATGAAGAAAGCCTAAGGTTCATGTGGGATACCATCAAAAGGAATAACCTATGTGTAATTGGAATTCCAGAACAGGAAGAGAAAAATAAAAACACAGAGAAAATGGTTGAAGATTTGTTGTAAGAGAATTTTCCTGGTATGATGAAAGATGAGAATATATCCACTCAGGAAGACCAACGAACCCCAAACAGGAAAGACCCCAAAAGAAAATCACCCAGACATGTCATCATCAAACTCACCAAAACCAAAGACAAAGAATCATGGGCGCAGCATGGGAAAAACAAAAAGTTACCTTCAAGGGGCAACCAAGAAGACTAAGCTCGGATTTCTCAAGAGAAACCATGCAGGTGAGAAGACAATAGGATGGTATGTATAAAACCCTGAAAGAGAAAAATTTCCAACCAAGAATTATGTACCCAGAAGAATTGTCCCTCAAATATGACAGTGATATTAGGACATTTCCAGATAAACAGAAATTAAGGGAATTTGTTAAAACCACACCAACCTTATAAGAGATGCTAAAGGGAGCCCTTTGGACAGAGAAGCAACAACAGCCAACAACAACTGACCATTAACACACAAGATGATATAACCCAGAAACCAACCCAGCTATGGAAGTATCCAAACTAAAGAAGCCTACAAGATTGTAAACAGGGAACCAGAGACATCAATTGACAAATGAGGACAACTACAAACAAAAAGAGGGAAAAAAATGTGTCATTACAGAACTTCTAGATGGTAGGGAATTCAAGACAACTACAAGATAGAATGGACAGTTCTAAACTTGGCAAGAAAACTATAAATCACAGGGTAACTTCAAAGAAAAATGATAAACCTTCACATCAAAAAAGAGGACCAGCATAAATATTCAGCAAATACTAAAACAGTAGCAAGGAAGGAAATGATAACGATTCATAAACAAAATGAGTTCAGCATAGAAAATTATATGGAACAAAGAAATAGATACCACAAAAAAGCACATAACAAAAATGACAGCAACAAATTCGTATTTGCCGATAATCACATACCTGATAAGGGATTTATCTCTAAGATTTATAGTGGAAGAGTGGAGTCCAAACTATGGTACATACACATAATGGAATGCTATGCAGCACTAAAGAATAATATAGAGTCTGCAAAACACCGCATAATATGGATGAACTTGGAGGACATTATGCTGAGTGACATAAGTCAATCACAGAAGGACAAATATAGTATTAGTTCGTGGTTGTGGAGGGTCAAGGAAAGGTTTATATATGGAGGGAAACTTTCTTTGTTGGTTGCCGGGGTGGGGGAGGGGAAGGAACATTGCAAAAAAAAAAAAAAAGCATTGATCCATGTCACTTTAGTTTTGTGTATTTCACAGTACATAAATTATATTTCAATGAAATGCATTAAAATTAAAAAAGAAAGAATTAAACACAATTTGTGTGTTTTGTGTTCACACTAACTAACCTAACGTGAGATGCACATGGATTGTGAAGCTCTAAAATTCCAGATTGTCTCTAGTGTGAAAAGTCATAGCTGCTGTCATTCTGAGCAGGCCCTGAGCCCCCCAGGTGAAGGCAGCGCTCGTCCTCCCACCACCTTTGCAGGTACCAGTTTGTGGTGAACAACCCTCCTAGGGCCGTACGGCATGGAGATATTGTGCAGCTGGTCCATGGCATGACCTCCCGCCTCCTCAACACGTGAGTACGTCCCCCAACCACCCCCTTCTGCTGCTTTTAGGTTTATCCTCCATGGTTCTCTTTGTTCAGAGCAAAACATAGCAGTGCCAGGGTGCACTGGCCCAGGCAGGAACAGGGCTACCTCAGGGCCAGGGTCTTATTGTTTGTCGTCGAGTCAGTCCCGACTCATAGCGACCCCTCCTTGGGTTTCCGAGGCAGTATCACTACGGAAGTAGACTGTCCATCTTCCTTTCGAGGAGTGGCTAGTGGGTTTGATCTGCCAGCCTTCTGGTTAGCAGTCAAGTGCCTTAGGCACCACGCTACCAGAGCTCCCGGGCCTTGGCGAGAATGGTCACCTCCTTGTGAGGCTTGGCTTACTCAGCTGAGAAGTGGAGTGGGGAGCTATTTGAGACTGACTTCTGAAGGAAACACATTATACCTCATTGGTTTTCTTGTGAGGTCCCACACTGGTGTGTACTTTCCCTAGAAATGTGGTTATTCAGCATTGCCCTTACCTCCAAGCCCTTGAGGAGGGGCGTCCTTGTGCTTTGACCACCGACTGGGACCAGGCTGTCCCTTAGGGCTGAGCTAGCCTTAGTGCCAAAAAGTGGCTTTTTCCTCCTTAAAGAAATAGTAAACACCTTTCAGAGGAGTGTTAAAATAAGGTCAGTTCAAGGAATTCCTTCTGAAGGGTCTGTTTGGTTTTACAGGCACGATGTCGCAGCCCCAATGAGCCCTCACTCCCAGGAGGTCTCCTGTTACATTGACTATAACATCTCCATGCCTCCCCAGAACCTCTGGAGATTGGTGAGTGCCCGGGTGGGGTTGTGTCTGTCAGTCAGTAAAGACCACACTTGGATGAATTCCAATTCAGGTGTCAGGTGGTTTTTGTACATAAAAAAGGGCACAGCTGTTTTCATAGGCAACAGCTATGTCCTCCTCTATGGAAGTTGGGAATCTGAGTTGCTTCATATATCAGAGGAGAAGATTTAAGATGTTCATTGCTTGCTGTGTTGGGCTCCATGTGGCTCACAGCTAGGCGGCTCTGCCCAGTGACAGTTCTCTCTGCTGGGGTCACTTCCTCAGCCTCAAGACAACATTCACCTGAATATTGACAGCTTCCCTCTTCTCTGATTTCCAAGGGAGAGGCCTGACCATCAAATACAGGGCTCCTTCAGGATTTCCCCATCCTATGGCATCTGGGCCTTGTGGCCATCTCTCCTGAAGGACCAGGGGCACATGGCTCCCCTTAGAGAATAGCTCTCACTCCCCAGGGCTGCACGTGGGTCTCCTGGGAAAGGTGGCAGGAAGAAAGTTACTGGACCATCTTCCCATCTGTGGGTTCAAGGAAGGGAGAACTACAGCTGTTGTTGTTGGGTGATGTCAAGTCGGACCGACTCATAGCGACCCCTTCTTGGGTTTCCGAGGCAGTATCACTACAGAAGTAGGTTGCCCAACCTTCCTTCTGAGGAGTGGCCGCTGGGTTTGAAGCGCCAGCCTTCTGGTCAAGTGCCTTAGGCACTACGCTGCCAGAGCTCCCTACAGCTACAGTCTCATAATTATAGTACAGGCAGAGCTCGTTTTATTGCGCTTTGCTTTATCATGCTTCACAGATACTGTGTGTTTTACAAATTGAAGGTTTGTGGGATCCCTGTGTCCAACAAGTCTGTTGGCGCCATTTTTCCAACAGCATGTGCTCTCTTGGTGTCTCTGTGTGACGTTTTGGTAATTCTTACAAGATTTCAAATTTTCTCATAAAAGCTTTTGTACACGCTTAATGTTGTTGTTGTTGTTGTTGTTGTTATGTGCCGTCAAGTTGGCCCCTACTCATAGCGACCCCTCCTTGGGTTTCCGAGGCAGTATCACTATGGAAGTAGGATTGCCCAACCTTCCTTCTGAGGAGTGGCTTGAACCGCCAGCCATCTGGTTAGCAGTCAAGTGCCTTAGGCACTATGCTACCAGAGCTCTCAGTTCTGGAGAGTAGGACTCTGAAGTCAAGGCGTCATCCAGGTTGGTTCCTTCTGGAGGATCTGAGGAAGAAACTACCCCATGCTTTTCTCAGCTTCTGATGCTGCCACAGTCCTTGGTGTTCCTTGGTTTGTGGACGTATCACTGCACTCTCTGCTCCATCTTCATTGCCGCCACCTCGGTGTGTTTCTCTGTGTCCTCTTTTTTTAAGGACACCAGCCACAAGATTGCGGCCCACTGTACTGCAGTGTGACCTCACTGTAACCTGATCACACCTACAAAGACCCAATTTTCAAATAGGGTCACATTCTGTCTGGGTGGGCATGAATTTTGGGGGTCACTATTGTGGTAGTTAAGGTTGTGTGTCAACTTGGCTGGGCTATGGTTTTGAGTGGTAGGCAGCTGGATGTAGTTACTCCCCATGATGAGAATGCAGTCAGCTCCATAGTGTAATGTGCACGCGCAGCTAATTACTGGCTTTTGGGCTGTGGCCTGCTTCCATTTATATATGGGGAAGCTTTGAGGAAGACCTCTAGCTTTTCGTACATCAGGTGGCTGAGTCTTGGCCTGCCATGTTGCCTGCTGACCTTGGGATTGTTCCTGGACTTGAACCAGTGGCCTGCCATGTTGCCTACTGATCTTCAGATTGTGCCATTCTACTTGCCAACCTTGGGTTCATTAGCCTCAGCAGCCAGCAGCTGCTTGAGTTATGAGAAGCCTTCAACTCCAGCAGTCCTGGAGTAAGAGGCAGAGCTGAAGCCCAAGGTCAGAGCTGGCACTTTGAATATGGACTTCTAACCTCCTAAACTGTGAGATAATAGGTTCCTGTCAGTTAAAGCATCCATTTGTGGCATTTCTGTTACAGCAGCACTGGAGAACCAAGCCTGCATCTGCCTTTCAGAGGGAAGGCTTACTTTGCATTTTGTATGTAGCCAAGGAAGGCTGGTGTCCTTCCCGCAACGAGGCTACAGATATCTGTGTGTGTTCTGTTTCTCCATTCTCTCCCCATTGTCCCACTTTGAGGGGCGTCCTGTGCACCCACACCTTTCTCATGGGGAGCTCCCCCTCCAGAATTTCTGCTGAAAGTCTCCCCCCCAGGTTGTGCTTGATTTCCTCTTCTGTCTCCTGCTACTAATGGCTCCTTTGCTGACCTCTTTGCTGCTCCTCCTCCTTCTCAGTCCCTCCTGATGGCATCTTCAACACTCCCTGCCCCCTTTGTCCAGTACTGAAGCTAAGGGACATGGGACGCTCCTGTCCCACCACTGATTCTGACAGCTCCATGACTTCCTGCAGTCATTGTGAGGGTCACATAAGATGGGCAATGCAAAGTGCCGCTCAGCTACTGGTTATTTTTATTGTTACCACCCCATCTCAGATGATCCCTGGTGGTGCAGCAGTTAAGTACTGCACTGCTAACCTAAAGGTTCAGCAGTTTGAACCTACCCAGCATCCCACAGGAGAAGGACTTGGTGACCTGCTCCGTAAAGCTGGCAGCCAAGCAAACCCGGTAGGATGGTTCAGCTCTGTCACGTGGGGTCGCTATGAATTGGAATCAACTTGGTGGCACCCATAACCACCGCCCTGTATTGTGAGCCCCTCTCTAATATCCGTTTTCTGACCTTCACCTGAGCCATCTTCATATTTGCACATTAAAGACTGAAAACTGTTCCTTTTTTTTATCCAGAGCTCTAAGCCTCTGGTGGTGTAGTGCCTAAGGCACTTGACTGCTAACCAGAAGGCTGGTGGTTCAAACCCACCAGCCACTCCACAGAAGAAAGACAGGGCCATCTACTTTCGTAGTGATACTGCCTCTGAAACCCAAGGAGGGGTCGCTATGAGTTGGAATTGACTTGACGGCAGTGAGTTTGGTTTGGTTTTTGGTCTCAGCCCTTTCAGTGGATGATAGGCTTTGTAGAGAAGCAAGGAGGGTGACCAGTCTCTTAATTCCTTTTCTGAAGCCTCTCGTGTGCTTCCTGTAACAGGAGGCAAGGCCTGCTCTTCACGGCGTCTGGCCAGTGTCTGCACCACATGGACTATGAACAGTCCACAGTGGCATCCGGAACTGTCCCTTACAGCCCCCCTGACAGCTCCATGACCTCCTGCAGCCCTTTCTTCCTGCAGTCCTTTCTTCCTGCAGTGAATTTCACTGTTTGCCACCAGTCTCTATTTTCACGCATAAGGAAACTGAAAACAGATTAAAGACAGCCTCTTGTTTCTGTAGGAGATCGTCAACAGAGAGTCAGATACAGACATCTGGAAGACCATAATGTCCGAAGTTCGGTTTGTGCACGTGAACACTTCCGCCATCTTAAAGGTAAAGCGCGTGACTGTTGGCACAGCCTTTCTTTCTTAACACCGTGGGCTCACAAAATCTGTTTCCTCAGCTCTTCACACTGTGCTGGCTTTTGCCAGGTGGGACATTTGTTAATCGTTGTCCTATTTATTTTACACTCAAGGATGGATGCTTTTACAATTTCCCAGACTTGAATCTTAACATAAAGATGCTATCGGGGAAAGTCTGCTGCCCTCATTGGCTGCTGGCAGAGTGACAGAGGGACGAGGGTTGTGGGGACACTTGTCTCCCAGCCAGCGTGGGAGGTTGGAGAGCTTGTACTTTCCTGTAATGCCCGTTTTTACCTTCTGTGTTCTGCCAGCTGAGCGGGGCACACCTCCCTGACTGGGGTTTCCAGCAGCTGGAGGTGGTTGGGGAGAAACTGAACAGGGCCTACCACGAGAGCATGGTGTGGAACGTGGAGGAGCATCGGTATGGGAAAGGTGAGTCCCGACCTCCTTGGGTAGAACTGCATGAACATTAGCGCGCGGTGGTTTAGTGAGACATCAACACTGATAGTCACCACCTCCCCCTGAGGGAGTGGAGCCCATTTTCCAGGCTCTGTGACAGCTCCCTTCCTGTACTTAGCTGAAGCAAAAAATGACTAAAGCTCTTTTATACCCTGAAACACCCTTACAAAGGCAGCGAATTGATCCCACTGCAAGCTAAGCTTTCTAAGGACCAAAAGAGCTTATTTTAATGGGGTAGTATTGCACAAGGCTGGGAAATCTAAAGGAAATGGTGTGGTGTGGTGAAGAGGCGCTGTGGATTGTTTCATAAGCAGGGGAATCAGCTCCTGTTCTGAACTCCCCGAGCTTACTCCACTCACGTTCTTTGGTGTTCCGCTCTGTTCCCTTAGGTCAGGAACAGAAGGAAAGGGAACTGGAGCTACACTCATCGACTCAGGTTGACATCAGCAGAAACCTGAGCTTCATGGCCAGGTTCACGGAACTGCAGGTGACACTTGGGTGGAGGGAGGCCTCACCTTGCTGGCTGGAAACTGGCTACTTAGCATAGCCCTGTGATCTGCAGAGTTCTTAACGGCACACATTCAGTCTCTCGAGCTGGAACCTCAGACAGACTCACCAGTCAAATGCTTGTTTCCTCTCTAAATGATAAGTGCCTCGTGTAACAGTGCTTTGCATCAGGAACTGAGGAGATTGTGCCTTAGCATAACGGGGTGATGTTGCAGGGTATTTTAAGGCCCCTTTAGTCAGGTCAGAATGGGCCAAGTTCAACATAATAGAGCACTGCAGAAGTCAGACTCGTAAAATCAGTCTTGAATCTGCAAGTGGCCTTCGAGAGATGGAGTCCAGTCCCTCACTGTACAGAGGTGATGACAAGCCTGTGGAAGCCAGGGCTCTGACAGGCAGTCTCCTTACACTGCCTCTGCTGCATGACCCCGATGAACTCAAGCTGGGACACACCCAGGAAAGGGACAAAGCCATGCACATCGAAAGGTGTCTGACTGTCACACTGAGTCTGAGAGGTCTCTGGCTCTCTTCCAGTGGCGGATGCTGACGTTGAGGACTGAAAACTCAGAGCACAAGTACAGCTCCAGCCCGCTGGAGTGGGTCACGCTGGACACCAACATCGCCTACTGGCTGCACCCCAGGACCAATGTGAGTGGAGCTTTCTGCCAGCCGAGGCTTAGATTCATCCCCTTCCGTGAGAAAGCCTTCTCACGTTGAGATCAGCCACTGCATCTGACAGTCCCAGAGCTCTTCAAAGCTTGTCCTAACAAATTCCTGTGACTTGATTTTCTGTAAACATTTGGCAGTGCACAGTCAGTACCCCCTCCAAATGCTGGTGAGTAAGGCCCGAGCTGGTCTTCCTGTCCAAGGAAACCCAGGCTGTCTTGCCTTGTGCAGGCGCAGCGTCCCCTCCTGGCAGAGGGGCTGTTCAATGGTCCTGCTTTGTCTGGTGCGCGGCTCCCAGTGTGGAGAGGATTGGTGCTCTGTTTCTGCACTCACTGTCTCTCTTCCTCCAGCACAATGACAGCTGCATCAGGGCTGGCACAGGACAGGTGCTCAGTAAATGTTCACAACAAGTGTTCCTACTCAGGCTGGACAGAGAGGCCGGTGACTGTGAGGCAGGATCTGAAATGAGCACGTAGAGCCAGGGCCAGGAGTCCATACTTTGGGCTCCTAGGAATGATGCTGATGTCATTCTGAGTGGCTGAATCATTAAATGAATCCCACCTCCTCCCTGTTTTCAGTTGTACAACATTGACAACCTTAGTCCTTTTCTACAAAAGGGTCTCACTGAGAACGAGGGATGGCCTTAGTCGGAAGGGCTGGCTAGCAGACACTAGGAGGTTGCCATGTGTTTCTTCAGTTGTAACCGAAGTATCATATGCATTTGGATTTGTTTGTGTCATGGACCCCTCGGAGCAGAAGCCGGGT